TCTGTAGAATCTGAAGAACAGCTACTTTCTGAAGAGCTGCTACTGCTAGTAACTTTTTTTTTCTGAACAGCCATATTAGGCTTTTTGCTGCAGATTCTGTAGTAACTTTATTTAAATTGTTAGAAAAAGGGAAGTTGTCAGAAACTGTTTTGATGGAACCTGGGCAGAATTTTTCTTTTTTAAGGAGGCAGCTGTCAGTATTGTGGCAAAGCAAATATTCACAATTCTTTTAAAACACTTGTGGCAACGAAAATGTTCACATGTTTTTGTAAACACACCTGGTAAGCCAAATATTCACATTTTTAAAACGCACGTGGCAAGACAAATATTCACATTTTTTTAACGAACGTGTTGAAAAATTTTTTTTTGTAGACTTAGAAACAATCTTGTCCAGATAGTATGTCGTGTAGAGTTTTGAAATTTTCGATTTTTCTCTTTACATCCGGTTTAATTTCAAATTTTTCAGATTAAATTTTTATTTATGTTGAAAAATTGTTGTGTCCATGTGTTTGGCGTGGTTGGGTAGAGAAGTTGTTTGATTTACTTTTTCCCTGGCTCTCGGCTTTAAGTGTCTATAGTTAAGTTTTAGTTATGCGTGTTCACATCGTGTCGGGGTCATTAATTGTAGAGGCTAGTATTTGACTTTGTGCCGCTAACAGAGGTTGAATGTCGGTCGACCGCAATAAACAAAACAAAGACTTGATTGAAAAATGAACGGCCAGTGTTAATTTATGTACGTAGATACAAAGATACGGAGGTATAGAGAATGGTGGACCTCAAGTCAGCATGATGTTGAGTGAATGAGACTGAATCTCCTTTTCGTTGAGACGGCTACTAGACACTTCCGAACTCAATGGTTGGGAAGTAAGAAGATAATGACCATCTCCTTTCCAGAAGTGGGGTCATAAAATTTATACGTAACCGAAAAGCCTTTTTGGTTTCCTTTTTCATTATGAGAAATGAAATTCTTTATTTTTTTATTATTATTTTATTTATTAGTTTATTTTCATTCTTCCACAATACATCCCCACCCAAAAGCAACAATGTTACCCACGAATATATAATATATCAGTTACATATCCAGATATTAACGACAGGTGTCTCTGATTTCATCGGTGTTGTTTTATGAAAAGCTAATTTGAGTGCCTTATGGTCAGTGAACAAGGTAACATGCCACTCTTCAAGATCCTTTCACATTGTAGTATTTATGCTGATGACACACCTGTTTATTTCCGTCTAAATAGTAAATCCGATAGATCCGATGAAGTAAAACCGGAAGCAGATCTCGATGAACTTCTATCGGTTGTTAACTGGGGCAAGAAATAACTTGTGCCTTTTTAATGTTTCCAAAATGAATCTGCTGTCTTTGAGTCACCTTAAAGGACCCTTTTTGCCTCCCATTATCATGGCTCATGCCAACGTCAGGAAGCACAACTCATCATGACTTCTCGGTCTCACCTTTCCCAGAAAGAAATGCAATGATTATATTGAATCAATTACTTGGTCTACTGCTAGGAAAGTTAGTTCAATGTCGAATCAGACAATTATTCCCGTCAGAATCCATCTGGCAGATATATAAATCTGCCATTCGAGAGTGCATTGAATATTGCTGTCACATAAGATCTTGTGATCCTACCATATATCTCGATATTGTTGACAAAATCCAAAGTAGGGCCTGTAATGTTATCGGTCCTGACCTGGCATCTCGACTTCAGTTATTTTCGCGCCACCGTAAAATGCCTTCTTTCAGTTTTTTTCTATAAATATTTTCATGGCAATTATTCTGATGAGTTTTTCTCTTTGGTACTTCAACCGCAAGCGTAGTTCTAGATTGGTGACTAGAGAACGGCGCAGATAAATTCCGAATTTACGTGGCAACAGTGCAGTGACGTCACAGCGTAGCAAGGTTTCGAGAGGGCCATTAGAAAGTACTGCACCTCAGCAGCTGTCTGGTCATTGACGCAGGAAGTGCTGAGTAATCGACATGCCTACAGAATACAATAATCGAGCTGCCGCTGTGGAGAGACTTCGCGACGGCCACAAAACAAAGGAAAACGTTGATTGATTTAAATACTGTAGAACCCTGGCCTATGACCTTGTAAAGGAACCTCTGACGATAAGGACAATTTCAAACTAGAACGTTAGACTCATCAAAACGCCCTAGTTCGTTGCCGAGGTTGCCAACGTTGCCAGGGAAAACCCCAGTAAGAGTATGTGGAAAATCGCCAAGGAAATGGGCACCAGCAGGCGAACAATCGGACGTATTGTCAAGGAGGTCTTAAATTATAAATCTTATGCGCTCAAGAGGCAACATTTGCTCACCGTACCACAGATCACCTGACTTATGACCGCCCTCATCGCCAAAATGCAATCGACTATTGTGGTGTGTCTTTGAGGGGGGAACAGCAGGCCCCACAATACCAAAGCCGCCATCAGACACGCCAAAGACAACATAGATAGGAACGCTGTCACCATTGTCAACTCCAGCTTCCGGGCCCAT